CAAAAATATGCCTAAAAAGTGTATTAAAATTGTAGGGGCATATATTTTTTCCTTTAGTTATTCTAGTCTTCATTGGAATTATCAACTTAACTCATCTTCTTAAAAAGGAAGACATGCATGTTTAAGTAAAAAATTAAAAGAAATATTGAGAGAGAGAGAGAGAGAGAGAGAGAGAGAGAGAGAGAGAGAGAGAGAGAAAAGATAGCCTTACTTACCTGTTTTTCTAACATCTATTTCCAACTCCCAATAGAAAACCACTATTTTCTATTAATTTTTGAAGATAATTCTAAACATTTCCAAAGTTTACCCTTTTCATAAAATTATAGCATGAAGTAAAAACCATTCTGTATCTTGATTTTTTCGTATAAGGATCATTTATTATCAGTTCATGTAAACTGACTTATTCTTTTAAATGGCTATACAGTATGCTATTATGTAGATGTACCACAATAATCCTGATTAAGTACACTAACTTATTTTCAATATTGTATTTTTATAAAATACACTACAATGAACATTTCTATGTGTATATCATTATCATTGTTAAATGTAATTAGATAAGGGAGAATTACAGAGATCTCCTATCTTTATATTAGTATAGTAATTGAAGAGCCTTCATTTAAAAAAAATTTTTTTTAGTTGTCAATGGACCTTTATTTTATTTATTTATAAGATGCTGAGAATTGAACTCAGTGCCTTACACATAGTAGGCAAGCGCTCTGCCACCAAGCCACAATCCTAGCCCCGAAGAGCTTTCATTTTGTTGTTATAAATTTTCTTACATAAAATATGTGATTCAAAGAAGGATAAATCTTAGCTAACATTGCAGTGTGGAAACCTTCTGTTCAGTCACTTTCTATTTTTGATTCTTTAGAAGATACCTTGAAATATAAATAGAATTGGTTTATTTATTTCATTTTCATGTCTTTTCTTGTTTGGAAAAGTATAAATTAACTTCTAGGACTTCATGCAATAAAATATAAAAATAATTAACAAGGACTAAAGGGAATAAGAGGGTTAAAATAAAACATGTTGGAAAGAGCATTAATAAACTGCAGAAATGTAAGCCATAGGAAACTAAATATGTCTTATAATTTGGCTCTTTGCCTCTAGTAGCCAAAGGAAAAATGGAAGTGTTATTACTTAAATAATTCATGTTGTTTACTAGGGGAAAAAACACAAACTTATTTCAGAGAAAAAAGCATGGCTTTTACTATACATAGTTTTGAAAGACTTTCATGCAGTCCTTCACAGAGTGGGGAGTGATAGAGTGGAAGGGGCCACAATCACATTTCAGTCATGAAGCCAGTGGTGGTTTTGAAAAGTCATTTTATGGACGTTTCTCCAATGTGAGATGAGACACTTACTTTAAAAGTGCAATTCGTGCAGGGCTAGTTTTTATATCTAGCTGTGAAGGGTAAAAACTATTATAGAGATTTGTATAGACAGTTCCAAGTTAGAGAACTTCAAGTTGGAGTCACTAAAAATCATCCTAAAGTTTGCTGTATTATTTAGTAGGTTAAAAGCCAGTCCTCATTTATTTTATTTTTTAAATATATATTTTAAAGATCAGTCAGCGATTGATGGAGTTGGTACCCAGACATGTTGTAAATGGAGTGCAGATTGGTGTTCCTTGAGCTCCACTATAAGTGGGTTCTGTAAAGAGATATTTTAGTATCAATTTTGTATGCATTGGAGTATAAAATATATATAACCTCTTCTCCATTTTGCTATTCACCCTTTCATTTCCATGCAAATTATGGCTTGGGATATGGAGGACACATGCAAACATTGCTTCTGGGCATCATTTATACAGTGAACCTAGGAACAACAGACTCTTTGGCCTGTCCTCATTTCTCTTATCTGCCAAATGTTTGCATGCCAACAAATAACAAAGCCAGTGTTCATTAATAGAAAAACACACATTTCAACTCATGTTTAGTTGTATTTTTTATGTATGTTGAGTGTTTAGAGTTGATTTTATGTTTTCTATAATTACTATGTTTATAGTTTCCACTGGATAAATTGTTCTAAGTGCAAATGAAAGATAGTGGTGGTTTTCAGTTCCTTTGTCCCTGGGATAGATTTTTAAACTCATTGATGAATTAAAATATTCATCATTGCTTTGTTTACAGTTTCATTTTCTAAATAAGGCAGAAGTGGTTTTTGAAACAGTTACTTTTAGGGAAGAAAGTATAAAAATATGAAGATAATGTATGAACTTCCTAGATTTCTGTTCTCTAACCTTATATTGAAGTCTGATGAATAATTATATATCTTCAATACTTATGAAGTAGTGCACCAGAAGTTGGGATCATCCAGGTTCTTACTTAACATGAACTTGTGGGTTCTGTTGTCCTGGATGTTGGTGTTACAAACATTCCAAGTTGCATAACTGTGAATAGCGTTTGCAGGGCTAATACCAACTATTTCAACAGTGAAAAACATAAAATTTAAAGTTGAGATGTGGAGAACTTTTTGGAGTCTTTGTTTTGTTCTATATGATGATTAGAGATAGGGAGTAGAACCACTTGCAGTGCAAGGGCACACCGTTCCCTTTATGTACCTGGCATTTGTCACCTGCAAGGGAGTGTATGAATTCTGCTGTGCTGCTTGCTTAGGAGTTGTGTGCCTCCAGCCTGAGTCATGTGGTAACCACATCTGCATTTCAGTCTCCCGCTTCTATTATTTCCTTTCTAAAGGCTATACTTGGTCTAATACTTGGACATTTTAGAATCTTTTAGAGTAATTAAGCTATACATGAGAAAATAGGTATACCTTTGGATTAGAAGGCTTAGTTCCTTAAGGTTTCTTATTCCTCATTTTCTTTAATGCTTTCCAAAGCTCCTGGCTGTCTCCAAACCTGTAAACCTGGTTTTAGCAGGCAAGAAAAGTTAATCCCTGAATAATTTAATTTCTGTGGTTTATATGACTTATAATTTCACTTATAACTTATATGAATTTTAACCACATATAGTTAAGGGTATAATATCCTGGAGGCCCCTTAGATGAATGGAAGCTGTGGTTCTAGGGCAAGCTGCAGGAGGGAGTTCTAGAGTTGTAAGTTATAACCATGTGGCTTTGCTGGCAATGTTGTGTGAGTTTACTCAGGTCATCATTCTATAATGGCTGTAGGGGAACAAATTATCACGGAAAAAAAAGGGGCAGATTTTTCTGGATATATGGTACTAATGAATTCCATTTTAGAGGTGCTTGTGGTGCACTAAACCACACAGAGACACACAGACACGCACACAGACACACAAAGAAAAGCATGCATGCAAAGCGTTTATTTTTGGCACCTTTACAAAAATTGTGATGATCATTGCCTAGGAAAATTTCCTTATCCACCAATAGAGACTAGACCCCAGACTGTGTGGAAGCAATTTATTCCAAGTTTAACATTTAAAAAAATTTTTAAGTACAGTTTTATATATTTTTCAAATGCAAATTTTAAAATATGATATACTGGCTAAAATTTTATGCAAAAGTTTTAACAGGTATACATATTTCTACTATAAAATTTACCAAATTTGTGTACATACAGGCTAATCTATGTTAAGTAGGAAGAAATGTGATCCATTTCTAATAAGATATTATAAGGAAATAAACTATATAGAACTGTTTGTCGGCTTGGTACTAATATAGCTAGTTAGAAAATAATGATGTTTGCTATTCTTTATTGACTTGTTTTGCCATTGTTTAAAATAATTTAAAATATTTTTCTTGATAAATTATATTACTCAAAATTGGCAGTTAAAAGGTACTAAAGAAACGGTATCCTTTTATATTTTTCTGTTTCATTCCTTACCAGAGTCATAAACAGTTTTTCCTAATATGTGATCCAGAATGTATTTATGCTTTGATTTATTTTTAGCTGTTTGCTTAAATTAGATCTGATCCATTTCATCATTCAATTTTAAGAACATGTCAACATCCAGATATAGTGAGTTCTTTTTAAGTTAAAAATAACAATAAAAACAGAATATTCATTTGTTATAACTTAAACAAAATATCTAGCAAGCGAATGTAATATGTGTCTTTTAAAATACAGAGCAATCATTCTGGATCAATGGTTAAATTAGTGTCTCAATTGAATCAAATTTAACTTAGAATTTTTTTCTTCTCTTACCTTTTAAAGAAGGCTCCATTCACCTAATTTTAAATTAGACAAGCAAATATACATTACAATCACACATTAAAGTGGATATTTTATGCTTTCAGAAGAGAAGACATTAATTCAAAAAAGAAATAATAAAATCTGCTCTTCTTTTACCTCTAGGATTCTAGGTTGGTAAAACACTGACCATTATTAGTACTGTTGTGAGTTTCTTCCCTTTTCTTTCATCTAACTGGCTTATTTATGCATCTTCAAGTGAAATAGTGGAGCTTTCACAGTTAAATCTTGTTGCTATTGATAACCAAGCAGCCATGCAAGAAGAGAGTGTTGTGAAAGGGAAGAAAACATAAAAAATAAAAAAATTTAATATTTCCTTCCTAAAGTTGAAGAGAAAAGGAAGCATAACATACAATATATAAGAAACAGGTAAGTAAAGATGTATCGGTTTAAACTTTACCAACCTTGATTATTAATTGATCAAAAGTTTTGATTTTTTTCAGATGTTTTGTCCAACATTCATTTAAATAAAAGGATACTGTCTCTAGGAACCAAAAATTAACTTTCTGAAAATGAAAATTGGATTGGAAGATACAGTGTCACAAAAGGTCTGAAATATTTTTATTAGAATTTAGACTATAAAAGAATAGCATAACTTCAATTATTGGTTAATATTTTTATTACAAATGGTTTTTAATAACAAAATGGTGACTAAAATATTACTATTTTAAACATGTCCTAGATTTTTTTTTTGTTTCAGAAAAGCACTGAAAGTTGAATATGTGTAAGTCTCCGGGAATGTAACAAGTTGATAAATACCCAAGTCCAGCCTCCTTACAGAGAAAAGATCTCGAATTTCTTTTTTTGGACATTTGTTTTGCAGCTTTCTACGTCTTAAGGCAGAGAATAGCCAGGATAAGGTGCCAGCTCAAAGGTTAGATGATCATATTTCTTGAAATAATTTTGGCTAATCTATGTCTTGAAAGGCATAACTTCTAAATAATAACTTTAAAAGCTATAAAATACTTAACATTAGTTGTGTTTTTGCGTTGCTTTTTTGGGAAGACAATATTCCTTAGAGATGTGCTTATTCTGTTTATAATGATACTAAATTAATTTTAATTCAGTTATTACATTAAACTTTTCCCTTTCAGTTTAAAATTGATTTCTCTTATTTTATGAATCTAATAAATTGACCTCCATTCTAACCTAAAGGGCAGTTTATATTTTTAATACTTAAAGAAGCAAATGTAAAAAACAAAGTCTACCAAATGAAATTACTAACCAGCCTATCATTAACCTGAGGGAATTGTGTTTCATATTCATTAATTCTCCATGGAATACTTCAGGTAAGAGATATTTTTACTGTATAAAATCTACAAGCTGTTTACCAATGGATCTTCATGCTATTGCTTAGGTACATAGAGCATTCCTTGTTTGAAATATTTTGGGCAGTGAGTAATGTCACTGAACTAATCACACTGTGACATTTTAGTGGAAATTTTTGGTGAAATATGTGAAATTCTAATGTTCAGTGAAATTCGTTCCAAGAAGACAATGTACTTTAAACTCATTGATTAAACTCCTATTATCACATGTCATAGAAAATGAGTAGGGTTTTAATTTTCAAAACATTTGGGAACAAATTTGATAGTACTAGAAATTAAAAATATATATATTTTTTCAGGTTGACTTTAAAAGTTAGTATCAGTTAGTATCAGTTACAGGATTGACTGTTAGAGTACTGCTGAGGCCAAGGAGACAATGCCAAGGAAAGAGTAGAATGTGCACTTTGTCACCCACAGATTTGGGTTAGGGACCTGTTCCTGTGACTTGCCAGCAATGAGAAACTAGACATTTTATTTTGCTTTTCAAGCCACAATTTTATAATCTTTAAACCTACTTTGCATTATAATTTCTAGCCAGATAGAATAATTCTTGATAAATGTTGGCTGTTATTAGTGTGTAGAGAATACAAATGAAGAACTCTGAGCTGTGTTTTACTAGGGATAGACACGGGATACATAGTACATGTTTTTAAATACATTTTATTTACCACGCCCATTTTTGGAACTAAATAATCGATTGGAAGCAGAAAATTTATCCAGTCATTTATTTCTAAAATAAAACTTTTCATCAGACAGCTGTCTGTGCTTCTTCACCATTTCTTTCCCATTTCTCTTATAATATTTATCTGCAAACCTCAGAGTGGAAGAGTCTTGGTTATCTAGCAATGTTTGCACTTGGATAAGGAACCAAAAGGAAATAGAATTGAATTGTGGAAGCTTAACACTTAAGAGTTATGGTGATTTATCTGACAAGCATTTGAGAGCTTACTAGAGTCTGGGAGCTGCATTAGGTGCTGGGAAGATATAAAGATTGATAAAACATGGATGCTTGCTTTCAAGGAATTCAGTTTGGTAAGATGATTGACTCTTATTCCTTCTGTGATTCTAAAATAGAAAAGATGGACATAATATTGAGAGAATTCAGGGGAAGAACCACTTCTTGCTGAGGAGGATCAAGGGGAGAAGAGTTCATGGGCTCAGTGGTGTTCAGTTGATTCATTTGTTCAACCCACATGTATTGAGTGCTGTTACTGGCTAGATCTGGCTCATTTGCACCAGCCGGATGCTGCAATCACCACTTCAGACATCATCCCAATAACATTGTGGTCAAAGAATGTCATTCACTATCAGTGTTTAAGACCCCCAGATAATGACAGTACTGGATGAAAGGTGTGTTTTGACCGTGTATGTTTTAGTATAAGGTACTATGTGAGCACATATCAGGAGACATCCCAGATTGAGTGATGAGTTGGCATCCTGAAGGATAAGTAAATCAAAGGAAGGGCACTCTGGAGAAGACAGAGTGTATTAAAATCAGAGATGCCAGGAAATGTAAGAACTTCAGTCCAGCAGTAGGTAAATGTTTGAAGGGTATCTGATGAGAAATGCAGTGGGAGATGTAGGAATAGACTGATTCGTGACAGTCTTTCATGCCAAACAGCTCATTTTTTTAATCCAATGTTATAGAAGACCACTAAAGATTTTAATCAGGGAAATTACAAATATTTCAAAGGATATAGTTGGTGAAAATGGGCCAGATCTAGCATGCAAGTGAATTTTGTGTTGCTCAGAGTTTTCACATTTTTTTAAATACTTGCCAGTGTTTCACAGGAAACATGGTTATCAGGCTATATTGAAAAACCACTGGTTCTGCCTTGCTGTGTGGAATCTGTGGGCTGGAGCTTCTCAAGTAGTTGCCCCATTTAGAAAAAAAAATCATGTGCTCCCCTTTTTACCATGGAACTCACTTCCTTCAGGACAAATGTCTCAGACCTGCAAGCATTTTGACTTTTGGGGCCAGTTTCTGAACTTCCTCTTTGGCAATTTAGAGAATAACTATAATTACTTGAGGTTCAGGACTGGAGGCTAGTACCATCAACCTGGTGAGAAACAGAGCTTGATTTTAAGTACTAGTAATGGGAACAAAAAAAGGACTGGTCTTGTAAGATTAGGTATGGGGAGGAGGCTGAGAATCTCATGGCATTAGACAGGGGTGGGACAAGATGGGCTGTTGCTACAAACGGTGTTTTTAAGAAACCTAACCTTTCTGAGCTACAGCTCCTTTTTGGTAAAATGGAGATAAGGCTATTACCTCATAGGATTTTTAATGAGGATCAAATGAGAAAATACTTATGGAGAACTAGGCTCAGGAACTGGCTCATATTCACGTTCAATAAAATATGGCTGTGATGCCAATGATGGTTGTGGAGAGTGCAGAAGATGGAACCAAGGGGGTTTCCCAAGTTTCTAACTTGTTATTTGGTGAGCTAGAAACACAGGAGAAAGTGCAAAGGATGACACCAATTTTGGGTTTGTCACACTTGAAGTGCTTGTGAGACTGAAGTAGAAAGGTTTGTATGCGGAAATTGGATTTTAGAGTGGCATCTGAAGGGCATGAGAGGATTCAGCGTCCTTCCATCACCACCCTACCCAAACCTTCCTTCCTTTTCTCATCACAACTTCAGTCAGGGTTGATTGGCACAGCTGCCACCGTGGAGGATCGACCTACAGTAGAAGAAGAATGTGGGATATATAAAATACTATGTTCCATGGTAGTTTTAAGTTCTTAAAAAATTATTTCTGGTTTGACATTTTGGCCTACAGTTGAAATACAGTGTGAGATACAGTGTCTTAAAATTTTCTACCACTATATAATATATGACAGAAGTATGCACAGAGGCTTATAGAAGCCCTGAAGAGATTATACACTCAATATTTGTTTGTATGGGGACTTAAAAAAAAAACACCCAAAAAAACACCCTCTACAAACCATATATCTTCTTCTCCTTTTGGTTGGTTTTATCTGTTTTCTCATTGTCACTCCTATTTCTAGGCAAATATTTACCTGAAAGTGAATCATTGTTAGGAATGGATAGGAATGGATAACCTTAGTTAAGTTTGTATTCTCTCCTAACTCAATCAATACTGAACTCACATGGCCCTTCTCTTATGCCTTTCCAGCTCTCAGTGGGAAATCTGTCCCTTCTCTACATGTTGTTATAACACTCTCAGAGAGCCTGTAATGTGGGTTGTTGTGGACTGTATCATTTATTCTGCTGCAGTTTGGTTCCATGAAGGTGAGGACTGTGCCTCACACGTCTTTATACCCGGTGTAATAGCTCCTGAAATGGCTTGTCTGCTTCAGTTCAGTGTACTTTTAAAGGCATAAGGACTAGGCATTTCTATATAAAATGAGTAAAAGATGATGAATAAGATGTGATTTTAATAAGTGGATTATGTTATTTAGGAAATACAGTTTACAGGATAATGAATATATTTTAATGCCTATCTAGTGACTTTGTTACACATCATAGATCTTAACTCTTAAGATTCTAAAAAGCACTTAGTTTATGTTCTTGAAAACATATAAGTGTAATCTGATTGTGTCGTCTACTGCTTACAGTCCACTGATAGTTCGCAATTATGGATAGAATCCTGACTTTAGGTACAAGCTCTTCAGGCTGACAGCTGCCTTAGGTTTGAGGGATTATCTTTTCACTCTCCAGTCCAAGTCACAGTGGGCTGCCCTTGCATTTCAGAACCTCTGCAGCTTCATGCCTTTCTGGCTTTTCTTATGCTGCTCATTCTGAGGGAAAAGTCCCTTCACCTATTACATAGTGAATTCCTACTCATCCTTTAAGATGCAGCTCACATTTCCTCTTGAAAGCCTTTCCTGGCATCTTTCCTACTCCTGCCTCCCTGCAGAGAAATTCTTTCTTCTCTGTTCTTTTAACACCTTGTACACCTGTCATGGCTGTCTTTGTCAGGAGACTGTAGTGTTTCAGAGTAGGTACTGTGTATGTAAAGAACTCAAAGTCTAGTGAAGGAACTAGATTTAAAAGCTACAAAAATACAGTGTTGAGATATGTATTATAAATCTCTCCCCGTATATAATGTAGGACAGAAGTATGTACAGAAGCTTATAGAAGCCCGGAAGAGACCGTACACTCAACATAAGGCTCAGCAAATCTTGGAGACTGTAATGGTTAAACTTAGTGTTGAACTCTGTCTGGATATGAGTTCAGCAGACAAGGGGAAGGATGGCATTCTCTGTGACAGTGGGCTGGTATTAGTGTAACTTCCTGGGAACTGCAGTTAGTTAATGCATTTGCGTGTGTGTTAGAGATGAAGCTGGAGGAATAGGCAGAAGTCAGATCACGAAATATGGTACGGAATGCCATACTTCGTGTTTGATCTCCTATCATGAGCTAAGTGATGCGGAGCCAGTGAATGGGTGTGGGAAGGATAATACCACGCTGAGAACATGGGTCAGTGAGTTCCCTCCAACAGCAGTGTAGAACTAAATTGAAGTCCACAGTGCGCGAGGGGCAAAGACCATTATGCTCTCACTTATTTCACGAGTCTC